GTCCATCTCCTCCTCCCACATCTCCCGGTACTGCTGCACCACCTTGTTGGTGAAGAAGGGGAGCGTCATGACCCGACGCATCTTGCGCCAGTGGTCGCCGTACTCCGTGAACACCATGTCCTTGCCGTTGTCGGTGAAGATGTCCCACACCACGTTGCGCGGCCGGGAGCCGAACTCGACCCCCTGAGTGTGGAGCACCTCGGCGGCTAGCTTCGGGTCGGACACCACCACCAGGTTGCGCACGCCCAGCCGCAGCAGGAATACATTTCCGTACTTCTTGGCCATGTTCACCAGGTTCCGGTGGTTGAGGTCGTTGCCGACCTGGAGCCAGTTGCCGAAGATGGGGAAAGAGACGGGGCCAGGAGGGGTGTTAGAGCCGGGCACAGAGACCAACACGAACGGCAGCAGGAGGAGGAGGAGAAGAGGAAGGGAGAGGAAGAAGGGCGACAGGTCGGGGAAGAAGGACTTGGCTGCATAAGCAGAGGCGACTGCCACAAGGGTGACGATGCCCAACAACTTCGCCATGACGATGGCTGTTGTCTTCCTCATTGTGTTGCCAATGCTTCTATATAAGCGTTTTGGTGAATGAACAAGAAATATAGTTAGGAGAATGATTAGAGGCGAATTCCCGAAAACACCTCATCTTAGACTTTTTCTTAGTTTCCAAAGATTATTCTCTATTTATCATAATCTCTGAAACATCATCTCACGACAAGACGATCAGAGAATCGATCCTATCTTGTCAGATTATGAGACAAATAGGTGTAAATTTGTCCTAATAATGTTCAGCAGGTGAGGGTTTTCTCGATAATTCACCTAATGATCATCATTAATTGAATCTTACTAAAAGTACATAGGTACATGCACTCAATCTAAATAATATGCTTCCATCGTTCACAGCATATAAAATGTATTTACAACATGCCAAGTCTTAATCATGTAATCCTTCCTAATGTGACATTTATCTTTATCGACCTAAAGAGATCATTCTTTCAATTTGCCAAATTGTGATGAATATAATATCATTTTCACTGCTGGTTTCTGAATACAGACGCAGCTTCCTGTGGTCGCAATCATCATTGTGGTGCCAAAGTTCGTACTGAACGATAAGTTCTTTGAACCTGTGGTAAAGACTGAACAGTACAAGACGTTTGTGAACTAAGTCTTCAGCATTATCTCGTGTTAATGATCGGGTTCGTGATGCAACGATCAACCCAACTCAATCCTAAATCGACATGAATCATAGTTGAATCGATCCAATTTAGAATCGAACTCATGTAGAACCTAATTCAACCTATCTTAAATCATTTTAAATTCATCTAATTTGAACTTGTATAAGTCCAATTTATATCTGTTATGAAAGATTCTAAGTTGTCATATCTACTTTCAAATTCGTGTCAGAAGGTTAGTAATAATTTCAAGCCTATGATGTTTAAGTTAGTAATAATTTGAAGATCATCAAAGTAATTATATTCAATCAAGTAAGAATGCATTTGGAAAGTATTTTTATAATATAAAAAATAATCATTAATGTTATGATAATTATTAGGAATGTTTAATCATGAAATCATATGTATAGGACATAGTAACATTTTGTCAAGTCTACTTTGTTGTTAGAACTATATAATCGACTCGATATCGCTAAGTTGATGCCCTCGTCGGCACTTTACTAACTACATAGGATAATATATAATTACCTCGCTCAGCCGGCTAGGCTCTATGCTGGGCGTCAATTGGGTAGATCCGACCAAGTCCCATCGACGGTCTAATCTAGTCTCAATCGAATTTGATTAATTCAGATTTTAAAAAATAAGAAACTTTAAAATATTATAATAACATAGATTAATAATACTATTTCTTGTTCCGGGAAGATAAGCGGTTCTAACTACATCTGCAGCACATTTATGCATCAAATTCACTTCAACTGGTAGCCCGGCAAATCCAATTACAAAGCAAGAGTTTACATAAAGAAACACACAAACACAAGAATACAATCCTTATTACAGTGTGTAATTACTAATAAACACCGTTTGATCTCATCATTTCATACGACTTCTTCATCTCCCTCTCATGGTGCGATCGGATGGAAGGCGATGGTGGAGTGGTTGGCGATCTGTAAGCTGAACTGGCCTCCCTTCTCTGTCACGTCGATCTTGTCCACCCCCGGCGGCGGCACCAACTCGAAGTCCTTGACCAGCTTCCCGACGATGAGCGAGAGCAGCGGCAATGCCAGTATGATCCCGGGGCAGCTTCGCCGGCCGACGCCGAAGGGGAGGAATCTGAAGTCCACCTTGCCGCCCACCAGTGCTTCCACCTCCTTCTCCTCGTCCAAGAACCTCTCCGGCCGGAACTCCTCGGGCTTGTGCCACCATTCCGGGTTGTTCCCCAGCCACCACGCGTTCACTATCACCTTGGTTCTCTTGGGGATGTCGTATCCCCCGAGCTTGGCTTCCTCGAGGTTCATGTGGGGGACGAGGAGGGGTATGGGCGAGTGCAGCCGGAGTGTCTCCTTGGCGACTGCTTGCAGGTACGGTAGTCTCTGTAGGTTGGTTTCCGTCAAGGGTTCATCTCCGAGCACATCCCACAGCTCCTTTCTGAGCCTTTGCTGGGCGTTGGGATGGTTCACCAGTTCTGCGATCGCCCACTCCATCGACCACAAGGTCGTCTCTATGGCTGTAGCATACCCAACATTAGCCTCTCGTTAAGCCTATCAAGTCTCGATGCAAATGATTATAGAGTCATCGTTTACCTGCAACGTTGATGTTCTCCACGATGTAGATCACGTTGTCTGAGCTGATTTCTCCGTTCATCTCGGCCTCCAGTATGTAGTCCATGGCGCACCTCAGCCTTTTCCCGTCTCTTGCGGCCATCAGTTTTCTGTAGGCGGATGAGAACCGCGGGAATTAGACATTGGTGTGCGGTGGTGATCGGAGAAAATGATGTGTAGCTGTGTCTACCTTCGTTTCTCTACGTAGTTGTCGTTGAAGAAGGCCAGCCTCCTGCTCTGCAGGTCCCTGCACCTGTTCAAGTAGCCTTTCAGGAAGGGCCT